AATTTCACCGTTATATTTGAGGGACAGTTTTGTTGGGTATATAATTCCGGGTTGGAAATTTTTCTCTTTCAGGGTTTTATATATACCATCCCATTGTCTTCTTGCCTGCATGGTTTCTGCCGAGAAATCTGAGCTTAGTCTTATTGGTTGCCCATTGTAGGTAACTTTTTGCTTTCCCATGCTGCTTTCAGGATTCTTTCTTTGTCTTTGTTTTGGTGAGTTTGATGATGATATGTCTTGGTGATTTTCTTTTGGGGTCTGTCCTGTTTGGGGTTCATTGGACTTCCTGAATAGATATATTCTCATCTTTCATCATGTCAGGGAAGTTCTCCTCCAACAAATCTTGGACATTTTTCTCAGAGGTTTTATTTTTCTCTTCCTGTTCTGGAGTTCCAATAACATGTAGGTTATTCCTTTTTATGGTATCCCACATGAACCTTAGGCTTTCTTCATTTTGTTTTGATCTTTTTTCTGATTGATCCCTTTCCAAAGACGTATTCAGGTATTTGCCTTCAATCTCACTAATTCTGTCTTCCACTGATTCACTTATACTCCTTTGTCTGTTCAATTTCTTACCTATTTCTGAAAATTTGGTATTGATCTTCTGGATTTCTGTGTATAGGTTTTGTATCATTTCTAATTTATTTATTTATTTTGTCATTTTGTTCTTGCATTGTCTTTCAGAATCGTCGTAGGGTTTTCCTCAATTTTGTCAGTGTTTTCCTTGATCTGTCTCTCAATTAGTTGAAGATACCTAAATATAATTCTGTTAAATTCCTTATTAGGGAGTTCCAATGCTGTGCCTTCCTCGGGGATGTTTTGGGTCTGTATCTTGGTCCCTTATTTCTCCTGCTTTATCTTGCTTTTTTGTGTAGACTGTGATGCTCTCTTGTCTCTGAGGCATTATGAAGTTTTTGTGTTTATTTGTAATTGGTGACTGTATGTTGGAGTGACTTGCCCATGATTTTTTCTTCTTTGTATGTTATCTACATTAGCAGGATACTGTGCTGTGCTTCTCTGTTCACAAGTTGGAAAAAGTTATACACTCATTACCTGTCTCCTTTCCTATTTTCAGCCTCCTGTATGTCCCTGCCATCCTTGGCAAACAGAGCCTATTCTTAGGTCCCTGGAATCTGAATGAGAATGCTGTCACTTTAAAATCCAAAATGGCCACCACTTGTAAAGATTCAAAATGGCTGCTCCCTCAGTCACTTTAAATATCCAGAATGTCCTCCACTTGTAAATATTCAAACTGGCTGCACCCTTGGTCACTTTAAATATCCAAAATGGCTTCCACTTGTAAACAATCAAAATGGCTGTACCCTCCGGACAGAAGAAAGTCCACAGCTCAGGTTGTCTCCCTCCTTGCTGTTTCCCTTCCTAGTCATAGGCCACCAGTGCAGTTGTCCCTGGAGCCCTTGGCAATCAGGGCTGATCTTTTTATTTTTTTTCTTTTAAATAAGGAAAAGGAATTGGCTTTACTTTAATTCTTAGATAATTAATTAATTAATTAATTAATTAAATTGTGATTTGGGTGAAAGTTCACAGAGCACATTCACTCTCCATACAGTAGTTCACACACACACATTGTCTCATGACATTGACTACAATTTACCCCCAATGCAATAGCTCCCTTCCTACTTCCTCCCTATAGTTACCTCTTCCTTGTGTCCATCGCTCCATGCACTCCTGCCACCTGAACTGTCTCCTGTGCATACACAGCTCTTCCTTCTCCTGTGATTGTTCTCTCCAAGGAGTGTATCTACCTCAGGTACATGTTCAACTCATATGCCTGTCTTTTGTTTGGCTGGAAGCCACAGGTGTGAGTTCAATTCCAGACCTGAAGGGCAGCTAGGGGCCATAATTTCAGTGGTTCCATCAGGTTCTGTTAGAGACCAGGGCTGATCTTCAGGTCATTTCTCAGGTCCCAACACCACTTGGAAATAATTCAGGCTGTTGGTCCCATCAGAGTAGGAGACAGTCCACTGCTCTGACCATCTCTGTACTCATTGTTTTTGTTCAGGCTTTTCCACTAGTTGGTGACTGATCCACTTCTGTATAGTTCCTTTCAAAGCTCAGGGCTCCAGGACTATCTTCTATATCTCTGTCAACTGGTTTCTCTTTGTTGAAGAGGGTCTGTGTAGCTTGTCTGCCTATTCCTCCATCTTACTGGAAGTCTGATATTTTTGTTTTTTAAAATTCTGTTTTTTTAAAAACCCACAAACCCTGTTTTAGCTTTTTAAGATTGTTTCATTTGTTTAGAGACACCAGTTAATTTGTGTTTACACTTAACAGTCATGTTTATTATTAAAACACAGTAAGTGCTTTAATTGATACAGATCTAAGTTGCTTATAACAACAAGTGAAAGGCATTTCAGTCTTTTAGTGCTTACTTTGTAGTCTGTCCTGTAAGGGGAGCCCAATCCACTGTTGCTTATCAGCCACTCCTCATTATGCGAGCTTTAAGGAAAGCCTAGAGCAGATGTTTTAGAAAAATATAAGGTATAAAAAATGATTTTATAGCTGGATTTAGTATGTGAAGCAAGCTCTAAGTAGGTTTTCATCATCATTATGAACTCATAAGACTCATAAGAGAAAGCTGGCTTAAAAAGCTGTGAGATAGAATTTAACTAAGTAACAGCGTGACTGTAACTATTAGTCAGATTAGACTATTAGATTAAATAGAAGAACAGTCTATCAAGGGTGGTTATGGACTCTCTATCTGTAGGGGTTTTATTTTAATGATGGATGGCCCTGACCTTTCCAGAGCTGGGGATCTCTTAAATCTTTGTATCTTATTGGTGTAATTAAGTATGTTTTTTCTGGGGCAGGGGGGGTAAGGTGAGGTGGGGTTAGGGATAGAGAACAGATAATAAAGATGAAGAATCATTTTCTAAAAGGGAGAAAGAAGTAGTTAGCATAATATAATGATGGTAATGGGAAGATATGAGTCATTGTCAAATTCCATTGATTGTCATTTTATTACTGGAGTTAAGCTTTTAATCTTCATTTTGAAAGGATAAAATTGTGGCTAGTTCTTATTTTAAATGAACTAGAAATACTGAAATAGGCTTATAAAAGGTAACTTTGAGGTTGATTATATGCCCAAAACTCCTAATGTGTTTTAAATAAGATTTAATTAAACATTATTCAGTCATCAAAAATTATAAAGAATAATTATATGGAGACATTTTTATAATACACCATAATTTATAATACAACAAAAACACAGTATAAAATTATATCTCTTAGCTTAGTGGGTCTGAAAGTGTTTTTCCTGGACCAGCAGCCTCAGCATCACTTGAGAACTCATTAGAAATGCAAAAGTTTGCTTCCACCCAAGATCCAGGAGATCAACACCACTAGGGATAGCCCAACAGTCTGTGTTTTAACAAGTCTTCACTCAAATCTGGGAACCACTGACTAGTAGATCTCAACTTTTGTCCTTTCCCCTGTGGAAAAATAAGTGCTACTTAAAAAATTACAAATTAATTTATGAAAGGTTGATTTATACACATTTTCAAGATACATGGGAAGCTTCAAGCAAAGCAATGATTTTTGTGTTTCCTTTTAGGTGGAACGAGGGAGCCCCAAGAGCTGTTTTTTATTTTTGGGGTCTGTACTCTGTGAAGTCAATTGGGTTAGTGTGCTCTCTGATGCCTGGAATCCCAGTCCCCACCCTGAAACCAGAAGCATGATTGTCTGCCTCCTGTTCATGATGATTTTATTGGCAAAGGAAGATCAACTAGTCGACCAAGCAGTAAGTTTGAAAAGCTTGTGATAAAGACTTGGCAAGACTCCCTAGATCCTCACCTTCTACTAGCTTGTAGTTTTTCATTATTTCCCTAATGCCTATCAGTATGTGTATGCTTAGTATGTGAGACGTGCTTTATCTAGATGCCTGATTTTCTAATAGCTAATAGCTATTATTAATACTTCTGATAATCAATTGATCATAAACTAGATAATTATAGATTATAGAGGGAACCACACTGAGTTAGAAGATGTTGTTGTTGTTATTGTTATGTGCCGTCGAGTCGGCCCCGACTCATAGTGACCCCTCCTTGGGTTTCCGAGGCAGTATCACTACGGAAGTAGGATTGCCCAACCTTCCTTCCGAGGAGTGGCTGGTGGGTTTGAACCGCCAGCCATCTGGTTAGCAGGCAAGTGTCTTAGCCACTATGCTACCAGAGCTCCCAGAAGATGTTAGTCAATTTTATTTTACATTTCATTAATTTCTAGTTTTAGTTCATATATACTTCTGTAAGTCAGTTTTGGCTTGTATCACTTAGTGGTTTTTTCTTTGGGTGTGTGAGTTTTACTTCTTTCTTAGATAATTGCTTCTATTTGTCTATTTTGCTGTAGAGTAAAAAACTATTTCCTTTTTTTTTTTTTAAATAATTTTTATTGTGATTTGGGTGAAAGTTTACAGAGCAAATTCATTTTCTATACAGCAGTTCATACACATTTTGTTTCATGACATTGACTGCGATCCCTGCAATGTCATAGCTCTCTTCCCACTTCCTCCCCATGATTACCTCTTCCCTGTGTCCTTCTTTCCTATGCATTCCTGCCCGCTGAGCTATCTCCCTATGCAAATACTGCCCTTTTGCTCTCCCATGATTGATGTTCTAAGGAGTATTTGCCTAGTGTAAATGTTCACCCTAAGTGCCTGTCAGTTGTTTGGCTGGAAGCCACAGGAATGCATTCATTTCCAGGCCTGAAAGGTAACTAGGGACCATAGTCTCAGGGGTTTCTCCAGGCTCTTTCAGACCAGTATGCCTCGTCTTTTTAAGGATTTTAAGTTCTGTTCCACATTGTTCTCCCACCCTATCCAGGATCTCCTGCATTAATCCCTTTCTGAATGGTTGGTTGACTGTGGCAGCCAGGTACCATCTAATTCTTCTGGTCTCATGGTCATATAGGCTGAAGTTCCCATGGTCTACTAGTCCCTTGGACTAATTGTTTCCATGTGCCTTTGGTTTCTTCATTCTTCTTTGCTGTGGACAAGGAGACACCAGTTGTTGCATCTAGATGGCTGCTTGTAAGCTTTTAAGACCCTGGTCACTCCTCACCAAAGTAGAATGTAGAACAGTGTTTTTGTGCAGTATGTTATACCAGTTGAGCTTGATGTCACCTGTGACCATGGTCCTGAGCCCACAGGTAATAACTATTTTCTTAAGGATGCCTCGCAGCATCCCTTAATTCTTCAAATTATAATAGATTATAAAGGTGAGATAGGATTCAATTTCTAAATTTTGTTAATTTGTTCAGCCATCTTACTCCCAGAAGAAAAATGTTTACAGACATGTGATTTTATAAAATGCCACCAGATCAGAGAATTCCTATGAAAATCGGGCTCTGAATACTTATTCTGTCTTGACATTTTTAACTCTGTTGTGCTTATCATTAGGCTCTGTGATACATATTTCTGGGAGATTGTAGGCTCTGGAACTGAAAGAATATGTGTTTTCTTTTCAGGATTCACCTTTACTCAGTCTCCTTGGACAGACGAGCTCACTTTCCTGGCATCTGGTGGATATTGTCTCATACCAGAGTGTGATAGGTTATTTCAGTAGCCATTACCCACCATCCATCATCCTGGCTAAAGAATCTTCTGCCGAATCAATAGTGAAGCTCCTAAAAGTGTCTGCGGGCCTTTCCATTCCAATCGATGGCCAAAAACATCTTGTAAGTTGAATGTATAACTTAAGAGACAGAGAATAGTCTGTGAAACCAGTTGTTGCATGCTGTTGAGGACAGTCTTGAACCTGGTCATTCTGCAGCAGAGAATGTTGGAGGATGTGTTTTATAGTGTACTTATGTTTTGGCCTCCTTCTGTATCTTTTAGTTTGACTTACCTCATTTGATAAGCCTTTACTTACTAACAGTGTCACATGCTGAACAGTGGTCCAAAGGATTGAGAATGGGGAGTATGCAGTTGATTTAGTGATCTGAATGTTAATGGCAGCAGAACAACAGGGAAGTTATGAGCATGCATGAAGTTGTGGTCTCACAAGCCTGGGTCCTCAGTCCCATTGCCCTTGTGACTCTGGGCAAGTTCTTTGATTTCCTCATTTGAATTGGAAATATTAAGTTCCTGCCTCAAAGGATTGTTGTGAGGATTGGGAGCTCTGGTAGCATAGTGCCTAAGGCACCTGACTGCTAACCAGAAGGCTGGCAGTTCAAACCCACCAGCCACTCCTCGGAAGGAAGATGGGGCAATCTACTTCCGTAGTGATACTGCCTCGGCAACCCAAGGAGGGGTCGCTATGAGTTGGGTCTTACTCGACGACACATACCAACCAACCAACCAACCTCAAAGGATTGTTGTGAGGAATAAATTAGATAATGAACATGCAAGTTTGCGAAAAGGTCCTGGCAAGTAACTGATGTTTAATTAATCCTGTTAATGTGCTAGAAAGGAAGAGCCTGTGCTGGAATGTGGGAGAACGTGGGTTCTGGTCAGAATAGTAACACAGATTCGCGTGTTCCTAGACAGGGACTGGGCGTTTACTCTGCTGTGGAGTCCTCATCTGTCCTCTCCATTCCCTACCCAAGCACCTAGTGCAGCATCATGTTCCCAGGGAATACTCTGTTGACACTCCCTGCTTGGATTAATTTGAATGATTCCTTTTTTTGTTTGTCAGGATGCAGTTCCAAAGTGCCAAGCTTTCACTCATCAGATGGTCCAGTTTCTCAGTACCCTGGAACAAAATGGAAAAATCACCTTAGCAGTCCTAGAACAGCAAATGTCTAAGCTCTTAGATGATATTATTCTCTTTAACCCACCTGGTAAGTTTCTAATGGGAAATCATGGTTTCATTCAGTAACTGAATACCTGCTATGTATAAAGCATTGTTACAAAAGAGACTATCCAAATGACCATTAAACTTGAAAAGATGCTAAGCCTTATTAGTGATCAAGGAAATGTAAAATAAAACCATAGTGAGATACTATGACGTACCCACCAGAATGGCTCAAATTAGGAATATTTAAAGACTAAGACGGAAGGGATGTGTATCAATATAACTCTCATATACTGACAACAGAATAAATTGGTACAACCTTTTTGAAAAGTTTGGGCAATCTACTTCCATAGTGATACTGCCTTGGCAACCCAAGGAGGGGTTGCTATGAGTTGGGGCCGACTCGATGGTACACAACAACAACAATAACAACTGAGATTTGCACATACTGTGACTCAAAAGAAATGTATCCACATGTGTATGGGAAAACAGGAACAGGGACATTCATAGCTTTGTACCTGAGGAGGTCTCAGAGTAGAAAACACCCTGTATGTTAAGTTGTTGTTAGGTGCCATTGAGTTGACTCCAACTCATGGACACCATGTGACAGAGTAGAACTGCCCCAGTGGGTTGTAGTCTTTACAGGAGCAGATCTCCAGGTCTTTCTTGTGAGGAGCCACTGGGTTGGTTTGAACCACCAACCTTTGGTTACTAGATGAGCTCTTAATCATTGCACCAATCAGCCTCCTTATTTATATGTTCAGTAGAAGGGATAAATTGTTATGTAGTCATAAAATGAAATACTCTACAACAGTAAAAATCTGCCACAACATAGATGAATCTCACAAACATTTTTGCATTTATTTAAATACCATTTACAAATAAGCAACCCTAATATTTAGGAAAGCACACTAATGTAAAGCTGAATGGGTCAGAATTGGTGGATGGAAAAGCAGTGCAGATTTGTAGAGCCTACCTGCAATCCAGATTTATGACAGAAGGTAGACAGTACAGTAGTTGAAAATTCAGGTTCTAGAACCAGATTCTGGCTTCACCACTTACTAGTTATGTGACTCTGGAAAAGTTAAATAGTGTCATGTGCAAAATGGTGGTAATAATTGCACGTATTTCCTAAGGATTAAATGAGATAATTTTCTGATGTATTAGCAACAGCCTGCCAAGTCAGCAAATGACATTCAGTGAATGTTTAAAAAAAAAAGAAAAATCACCAGGCATTGCTGAGATACCGATTGTGAGTTGGTCATATGTGATTAGGCCATGGATGTCCATTAATACCTGGCTGGGCAAAGGAAGAAGGGCATTCTAGAGAGATTTTAATCAGAACAGTGATAGGATCAGACTGGTTTTTAGAAAAGTATCTGTTCAATGTGATAGGAAGGGGAGAGACTGGAATCAGTTAAGAGGTTACTGCAGGAATTGTTAACGATGAGTCATAATTAAAAGATCAAATTAAAATTGCCATTCAGCTGAAATTCAGACATTAGGCTTTTATTACCAAAAATATTCACACTCATAGAAATACATGAAAATATAGGAGCTCTGGTAGCATAGTGCCTAAGGCACTTGACTGCTAACCAGAGGGCTGGTGGTTCAAACTCACCAGCCACTCCTCGGAAGGAAGGTTGGGCATTCCTACTTCCGTAGTGATACTGCCTCGGAAACCCAAGGAGGGGTCGCTATGAGTTGGGGCCGACTCGATGGCAAAACAACAACAACATATATAACACTGTTATTATCTCTCTCAAACTTTTTTTTCCCCTTAAATCCTTGCTAGAGCCAGGAAAGGGAGGGACCAGGAGCAGCCTCGGGGACCACAGGAGTGCCAGGATATCCAGGTTAAAAGGGGTGGGAGGCAAGGAAGGCCCCAAGCCCCCTAGAGCCAGGAAAGGGAGGGAACAGGAGTGGCGGGACCACAGAGTGGCAGGTTTCAGGTAGGAATTAGGTAAGAGGAGGGTGCAGAGGTTTTCAACAGCTAAGGGAGATTTATAAACATGTCTGTCAGTTTCTCATCCTGTGAGCCTTGTACATTACTGTGAGGCTTGAGGCTGTGCCACTGGTGTTTTAGATGCCAGCAGAGTTGCACATGGTGCACAGGTTTCTACGCAGCTTACAGACTAAAACAGACTAGGAAGAAGGAGGAGGCCATCTACTTCCCAAAAACTGGCCAGGGAAAACCTTATGGATAGCAGAGAAATACTGTCTAATACATTACTGGGCAACTTTATGAATAGCTTGGAAACATTGTCTGGCACAGTGCAGGAAGACTAGCCCCTAGGATCAGAAGGCACTAAAAACAGGACTGGGAAAGAGCTGCTTCATTAGAGGAGAACCAACCTTAATAATATGTATAAAGTAAGTCTTTCAGGACCTCCATGTGCTGATGTGGCATGGCTCAAATTGAGGAAGAACAGCTGTAAACATCCATTAATAATTGGAGCATGGAATGTATGAAGTATGAATCTAGGAAAATTGGAAAGGTGTCAAAAATGAAATGGAATGCATAAAGATTGATATCCTAGGTATTACTGAGCTGAAATGGACTGGTTTTGGCCATTCTGAATCAGATAACCATAAGATCTACTATGCCGGGAATGACAAATTGAAGAGGAATGGTGTGGCATTCATCATCACAAAAGATGTTTCAAGATCTCTGCTGAGGTACAATGCTGTCAGTGATAGGATAATATCCATATGCCTACAAGGAAGACCAGTTAATACAACTATTATTCAAATTTGTGCACCAACCACCAAAGCCAAAGATGATGAAATTGAAGATTTTTATCAACTTCTGCAGTCAGAAATTGACCAAACATGCAATCAAGATGAGTTGCTTATGACTGGTGATTAGAATGCAAAAGTTGGAAACAGAAGAATCACCAGTAGTTGGAAAATTTGGCCTTGGTGACAGAAATAACGCAGGAGATCGCATGATAGAATTTGGCAAGACCAACAACTTATTCATTGCAAATACCTTTTTTCAACAACACGAAGGGTGGCTATACACATGGACTTCGCCAGATGGAGTACACAGGAATCAGATTGACTACATCTGTGGCAAGAGGCGATGGAAAAGCTCAATATCTT